GAAACGACCCAAAAAATTTTTGTTTTTAATATATCAAAACTGTAATCAGAGTATCATATAATAAAACCATGCGTGATGTATTCCAAAACATGATAAAATACTGTGCGGAAAACTGTATCATACTACATCAAATCAAACAACTAATCAATCCCAGGCTAAAGCTGAGGCGGTGGTGTGTGCGATGCCGTCATCCCGAGCTCTTCCCTTTGCTTGCGGAAGTACCTGAAACCAAAACTGAACTGTAAGCACGAAGCTTAGTGAGCTCCCCCAAAATACCACATACCATACAATAACAATATCATATAAACACATATCGGGCCTTGCCCACTGCATCGGGACGAAGCCCGGAAACTGCATCGGACCGAAGTCCGGAACTGACTGGGACCTTGTCCCTGCATCGACCAAGGTCCGGAACTAACTGCATCGGACCAAAGTCGGAACTGACTGGGACCTTGTCCCCTGCATCGGACCAAAGTCCGGACTAACTTGCATCGGACCGAAGTCCGGAACTGGCTGCATCGGACCGAAGTCCGGAACTGACTGCATCGGACCGAAGTCCGGGACTGACTGCATCGGACCGAAGTCCGGAACTGAGCATAGCATAGCATATCATAACAACTAGCATGAACACATATACTGCATACTGCATCGGGCCGTAGCCCGGAACACATAAATACATAACACATAAAGCATAGTCACAATCCTGTCTGAGCCACGAAGGCATCAACATACTAACTACTGCATCGGATCAAGTCGGGAACTACTGCTAACTGGACGGGCCGGCATTGTGGCTTAAACCCTCCCTACTGGAAGGAAACTCACCTCGTAAACTGGCGGCTGAGTGTGTGTCTCTGAAAGCTAACGGCTGCTGCTCCTGAATCTCCTCGGCTACAAGTCCATGAACACACTCAATCAAATACTAAACACTGCACTTGGGGTAAAATGAGTCTTTTACCCTTGGTCAAAGTCAACTTACTTTTGGGGCTGACTCGCCGAGTTAGGCCGCCCAACTCGCCGAGTCTCACTCTCACTTCCAACTCATACTCACTGCGACTCGTCGAGTGTGGCATCGACTCGACGAGTACCCTCTTGATCCAAGAACTCAGACAATCTTCATCCGACTCACCGAGTCGTATGAACAGACTCGACGAGTTGTTCTTGATCCTAAGGAGATTGCCTTGGACTCGCCGAGTTGTATGAACAAACTCGTCGAGTCCCTCCATCACTGAGTCCACTCTCAACTCGCTGAGTCCACTTTCTGACTCACCTCGTCCACTCGACACTGATAAAACTGAAGGACTCGGGACTCGCGACCCGACTCGTCGAGTCGCTCATCCCGACTCGCCGAGTCGCTGCCATGCAGCTAGTTTTTACTCGATTTCTCTTGAATCCAACACATGCAAATGATAGATCTGGGTCCAATAAGCTGTTTTACCACGTAAAGTTTCCAACTTTACGTGCACAACCTCATGAATAAGGGAAATAAGGCTAAAATATGCACAAAATGAGTAGATCCATGGCTAATATGCAATGTAACTCCAAAAAGACAGTAGATCTGGGCTCTACAACACCCCAACATTCAGATCCAAAGGTATTTCGACTTATTAAGACATTCATGCAAACATAAGGCTTGGAACAAACATCAAATAGCTCATAGAAGAACTCTAATGGAAGTTTAAAGCATATAACAAGAAGGGAACTCCGAAAATACCTCAATAAACTCAGATTTGCCCTTGGATCTTTGCACTACAACTCGTTTCCTTGCTTCTTTCTTCTTTTCCTTCTTCACACCTTCACAAAAATGGCACCAAATCACTTATAAGCTCTCAAGGGAGGTTTAGGGTTCTCTCACTGTGTTCTCAGGGTGAAAGTGGCGAGAATGAGGCTATAATGTGGTTTAAATAGTGGGCAAACCCGGGGATTTAGGGTTTCACCCAGACGGACGGACTCGCCGAGTCCGGGATATGGACTCGCCGAGTCCCCGGCTCCCGCGTGCACAAAATACGCGACCCAACTCGGCGAGTCAGGCTAGAACTCGCCGAGTCCCTCTTGAAAACTTAGACAATTAACAATTAATTAACATACCGGGAACGGGTCGTTACAAGTGATTTTACGATGGAGGACTTTTTAGCCTTAGTGATCTAAACGAAAGTCGTATAATATGTTAAACCGAGAAAATCCATAAAAAGAACACCCAAATCTGACTTCGTATGAAGAAGTTATGATTTTTCTAAGATTCGGCTTAGCAGTGCACGGCCCGAAACTCGAATTTTAGTTCGAGCGGTTTTTGGCTTACGTGAATTAAATGAGAGTTGAAAATCTCATTAATAGGAACTTAACAGTAAAAAGACAAACGAAAACAGAGTCGGTATGAAGGAGTTACGAATTCTTCGCGGTCATTTAACAGTCTAAACGCCTCGTACTGTTAAATTTAATATCGGTCGAGAACTTGCCGACGGAGTCAAAATGAAAGTTGTCGATATTATTTTTACCTACGCGTGGATATAAGGAACTTCAAAAACGGAGGTCATATGTGAAAGTTACGGTTTTTAGAAGTCGGAAGTGTGCTGTGCGAAAATGGGTGATGTGGCACAATCTTGGCCATTGCTTTCTCCCAAGTCTGCCACTAGATGGTGACATGTGGCACCAAGTTCAGCCATTTTCACCCTATAAATAGAACCTCTCCCACCCTCATTTTCTTCACACCTTTCTCATTCTTTCTTCTCTTTACTCTCTCTCTAGAACCTCTCTCTAGCCCCGAAATCCCCCGAAAAGCCTAGGGAACCTCCCTAGCACGAGGCGGAAGCCCCGGAGTGCTCGACGGCTCCGAGAAGAAGAGCTTTTCAGCTCGGAAACGCTGCTCCAAGCAAAGTGTGTTTTTCTATAAAATCCGCTGTAAGTGAGCTACGTCTACGCTATTTTTAATATAGCTTTTATTTAATTATAGTAACGTTATTAGGAACTTATAATAAATACTTGGGCTATTATTATGGGTTATATAAGTGGATTTTTAACGCTTATATAATAGTAATAATAGCTAGACTATTAATTAGTCTCGCGAATAATAGACTAAACTCTAGTGGTAATAATACTAGGTTTCGTCGAAGGAAATTATTTTTAAGAAGCGAAGCGCTGTCTGAGTTCGGAATCACCACCTTTTCAAGTGAGTGCATAGTTACTTTCATCTTACACATAGATATGAAGTATTTTATATAAATTACGTGCTATGTGTGCATATTATCTGAGTACTTGTTGTCTATGCTAAATGAACGATTTTATACATGTTTTAAATGATTTAAAATGTATATGTATTTTATATCTACGATAATGTTGGGGTAAACATGGGTAGATATAATAGATGGAATATGAGTTGAATGATGAGTTGAGAGATGTTATAGACCACGAGGTGAGGGTGAGAGGTGGACAATGTGAGAAGCCTTTTTCCCAAATGATGGCCCCGTCATTCAGCAGAGTATGGATGACAACCACGGACGATTCTAGACAGTCTTGTGGAACACTAGCAGGATCGTAACCTGTAGGTGTTGTGAACGATGTGTTCACCCGGTGTACTCTAAACCTTGGTGACCATGCAGACTTGGTACCTAAACCTTGGTGACCATGAAGACTTGGTGCCTAAATCTTGGTGATCATGCAGACTTGATGCCTAAACCCTGGCGACTATGCAGACTTAGTGCCCGTTGTGTAAACCGTGACAACGATGGATTTCTTGCCGATTCCTTAGGAATGAATGAATGCGGAATAGCTGATTCTTATGGTAGATCCTTAAGAGAAAAGAAGATAATGGGGATGGGTAATTGGGTTGATTGTTTGATTTTTTAAACATAATAATTATATTATTGTGGGTTGAAAACCCTATGTACTCACTAGGTTTCCCAACCTGACCCACTCAGTTTATTTATATCACAGGTGTTGATATGAAGTCACATTACACTGAGAGATTAAAGAGATGTAGATCACTAGTGTAAATAAATGTAAGTTCTGTTTATGCTTATGTTCCTGTATTGACGATGACATCCCAAACGTTTTAAAATGAATAAAATACATTTCTTCGAAAATGTTTTAATAACGTATTTATCGTGTTTTTCTGGGAACGAATTCCACAACATTTTTATTAAAAGAAGAACTCTGATTTTTATAAAGCATAAACAAAATCGGTATTTTCTAGCCGTGAAAATGGGGATGTCACATATGTTGTATTCTGTCATGTCATGTTATATGTGTAATTACAGACAACATTGTACAATAAGCAAATATAACAACAATGCCAAGTAAAAAAACTGAATTTTTACCTAAAGTAAAAGGTTTTTCTAACATCAACTGATTCTGCACGTGTCACATTTGTCCAACATCAACTTATGCAAAAGCAAAAGGTGTACAAGCAAGCAAGCCACTACTTTGGCCCTGGAAAGTAAAGGGCAAGCATCAATAATTTATAGATGTTGTTCAAAAACGAAAACCAGACTTCATTTGATTATAACAAAGAAGCAAAAATATACAAATGCTTTTTACAATTATGTGAAGAAAACTCAATTTACCAAGAGAATGAGAGTGAAAAACGTTTTTTTTCTTCCTTTTTGGCTGTCATCTGTTACAAGTATTACTACTAGCTGAAGAAATTAAGTTTTTAATCTGAATCAAATGCTCATCATTTGATATATGAAGCAACATACGAAGATTTGTTACCATTGTTTCTTTTTCCCATGTTAAAGGTCTCAATGCCTATAATGCCTCCATTGTGCATCGATAAGCATTCAAATCAAGTCTATGGATTTCATCCTCCAATGAAATACACCCATCATCATCATCATCATCGTCATCATCATCATCATATTCCATTTCACAAACAGACTCTACATCACTATCACACCATTCAATATCTTTAAAACAATCAAACCCATTATAGGCATTAATGCTACAACTGTCACTAGAACTCATGACACTTTCAACTTTACAAGAATTCGAGTTTAAAGTCTTAAACTTGTCAATAACAATCCATTCACCATTTTGAAAATATTGTGGCACACGGAGTTCCAATTTGGTTACTTTGAGCTCTTGAGAATATCCAACTAATCTTACAATAAATTGTTCCATATTCAACGCATTCAAAACAATTGCCATCTTCCATGAAAGATTGTGAAAGACTTCAATTCCATCACCAGGAACCCAAGATTCTGGGAGTTCTAATAGAGGGGGACAAGGTCAAATGGATTTCTGAGATATTTGTTGCACATCTTGTTTGTTGGTGAAACCAGGGTAGATATCATAACTCACAATATAATTATCTCCATTGTTGGAAAATATCTTAGCATAACGCCATGAATGGTGACTAAATTTGTCATTCACAAACACCTCTACGATACTTTCTTTCTTGTATTTCATGATGTGTAAGATTTGTCTTCTGTCCCAAATTGTAGTTCTTCAAATTTGTTTGAAACAAATTCCAAACATAAGTCAGATTTTTATATGATTAGTCGAAATTCATAAGATCAGAACTTAGGCGAAGGTATTGGGATAGTTCATATGTCAATTTAAACGAAGAACACAATCAAATGTCATTATAAATAATTAAGAGTTTACAATCCGAATATCTCAAAACGAACAGTAAACATCATCGAAACGTAGAGATTAACGTCAGAACAGTTAATACATTGATTTTTGAAACGAAGAACACAATCGAAATTTCAAAAGAAACTAATCCGAAACGACTAAATCACTATGTGCAATTGATTCGCTGACAAACATAAAAGAAGACCAAGCATCACTGTGAAGTCTTAGAACATAATAAATCGAATGACCTTATAGATAATCAAGAGATGCTAGAACTTATAACGAATAAAATTTTCAAAAAAACAAACATGAAACATTATACAAGAAACATAGGTGTGGGCATCGACACAGTTGATATATCGGTTAAAACGCAGAACACAATCGCAATCTAAAAAGAAAGTAATGAGAATCTATTAAATCGTAAAGCAAATTCATGATTGATGGTAGCAATACCTTCGGAATGCGTGTTTGTTGTTGCTGATAGCAGTGTTGTTGTTGTTGTTGTTGTTGTTGTTGTTCAAAGAAACAAGAATTGTGGGAGGATGTTGCTAGCAACACAAGAAGTAATGAGGAAACAAATAACTTGTTTGAGGAATGTTGGATTGTTATTGTGCGCTAGGTGTGTACTCCGCATTTTTCTCTCTATTTATTATTTTTATTTTTATTTTTATTTTTGCTTAATTATCGAGCAAGTTATAAAATGAGAAAACCGTTAACATAACTATTTGGGGAAATATTTTAATAAAGTGCAACTATTTTTCTTTTTACCAAATTATCACGAATTTTATAGTATTATGCTCGTTGTAAATTTATCTAGCGGGATTCATAATACTTTATTATTTTATAGAATGAAAACTGTTTTTGGTCGAATTTCAATAAACTAATTTTGTAACTAAATTAGTAAGTGGGGTGTGATATTTTATGAAAAAATTATGCTTAAGATTTGGAAAAATGCTTAATATCTTGAACCATAGGAGCGTTGATGAAGGATAAAGTGGACAGTTGTATAGAGTTTAATATTTTTTTGGGCCTAATTTTCATTATATATATATATATATATATATATATATATATATATATATATAATACTTACAATATCGATAAGAACCTTTTTTTCTGGCTTGTCCAGAACAATTGAGGATATTTAAATTCTCAGCATCGACCATGTCTTGAACTGGCCCAAGATGTTTGGATTAATGTTAATTGTAAATATTGATGATCAAGTTCTGGATAATAAAATGTTCAAAATTCAAGATTTGTGATTGGGTCAAAGTTAATGTTATGGTTAGCTAATAATAAAGAAATGTTCATAAATGTTTTTAAGTGCTCAAGAAGTGTATAATTCGGTAGTATGTTTCAAGATGAATGTCGTGTGTCCAAAGTATGCATTGTTGTAAAGAAGTCTTAAGAAAAGAGTGTTGATGCAACTATACTAAAAATGAGTTTGTGGTGACTTGGTAAGACATGTGGAAGATATGGTTGATAACTTATTAACCCATGTTCAAATCCTAGTACTATTCAACCCTTGTGGTCATGAAAGTTCGTCTGTAGTGACTCCAAGACATGAGACATAACCTCGTGTTTAAAATGGGGGATTAGTTAGTGTGTGAAAGCTAGCCCGAAACCATCATTAGGGAAGTTCCATTTCCAAAAATAAATAAATGCAAAGACACAAAGATGTATAGGGAAAGCCCTAATCCTTTAGGATCTCCGACACAAAACATCGGAAGGTGACAATGTCAAGAATGTCCAGAGAGAAAGTGAGAGTGAGTGTAACATCCTGACTCTCAGATATTACATTTATTTATTTACTTATTTTTTAGATTTAATGAGTGACTCGACGATTTGTGTGTCCGATTCATCGAGTAGAGTTGGATTGGTCACGTGGGTTTAATGACCGACTCGACGAGTTTGAGAGTCGAATCGCCGAGTTGGCGTTGTGTGAGGAAACCCTAAATCACCGGGTTTGTGACCAATTTAAGGGGCATTAAGCCCTCATTTCCACCTCACCAGCCACCTTACATCCTAGAGAGAAACCCTAATCGTCCACTTGAACTAGAGAGTGAGAGAGAAGCTAATCTTGTGATTTTTAGTGCACTTTTAAAGGAGAAGACGAGATCATCAAAGCTTGGATCAAGAGGAGGCTTTAGATCTAGAGGTTCATCATGGTTTTGCTTCAGTTGGAGGTGAAAAGATGCTAATTTGATCATTTCCTTATGAGATCTTAGTTTAGGGAGTTTCTAGGGTTTTCTCCCATCCTTTTTGTGTCATTGGAGTCCTTTGAGCATGATTTGAGGTTGAAAACTTAGATCTAGATTGTGAGTCCAAAGACCCGAGCTTTATTGAGCTAGAGATAAGGTCTTGTGCATCTAACCCTTGTTGGAGCTTGAATTGACATTATGAGCAAATATGTCATGCATGAACGTAAAGATCGAAGCTTTACGTGACATTCGAGCATTAGGAGACTAGATCTAGAGTTTGGAGTGGTGGATCTAACTTAAAACGTCTGTATGAGAATACAGACTGAATGGACTTGCCGAGTCAATGAGCTGACTCGTCGGGTTTTCCCCGATGAGTTTGGACATGGGTAATTCGGCGAGTTGATATTACGCTCTTAACCCCCAAAGTCCAAATTATATCATTTAATCCCCAAAACCATTGTCTTCCTAAGTTATTCCGAATTTAGGGCTACTATTCATTTATTAATTTTATCTATTAATTTTTTTTTAAAACAAAATGTTACAACTTCCTTTAATGTCCTCGAACCGTTGCATAGGTGAAAAGCAACCATCAAGATCCCATTTTTATGACATATAATCCTCAAAATTGACAAGATATAACAACCTTAAGCTCTAGAGTAGCTTTTACTCACAAAAACCAAAATCATGGGACCAAAAGCATGCAAAACTCTATACTATCCTAGATCCAAGCCATAGTACCATAAAGGTGAGAACTTTATACCTCCAGAAGTTGGGAAAAGAGATGAAAGCTCTGGATCTTCAAGCTCCAAGCTCTCCAATTCTTTTCCAATGAATTCCTTCTTCACAATAACACACAAAAAACCACACCAGTGCCTTAATATCTCACAAATAGGTCTAGGTGTCATACCCCCAAACCGGAACGACGGAAACGTTCGTGGACAAATGACGTCATGTACAGTATCATAACAATGAATAATATTAATCAAAACAACAACAACCATTGTATTAATAATAAAGTTTTTACATTGTATTCGAATCACAACTTCATTGACTCCAAAATTAAATAGCAAAACTATGCTCCATCTTTCCGGACCCTATACGTGTACATGTCTACTAATTTCCTCATAATACAAGTGGTTCCGAAAAAGTGTCAACATTAAAGTTGATGAGTTCATAAGCATTTGGTATGTAAAAGTATGTTCTTTGCTCCTTAAAAACGTTAGTGAGTTTATCCAGAAAATGTTGTATTTCTCCATAAAAATGATTTGTGAGCTGTTTTGCCTGTAAAGTAATTGTGTTTATCCTGGAAAATCCTATATTTTCCATAAAACTGAATTGTGAGCTGTTTTTCTTGTAAAGTAATTGTGTTTATCCCGGAAAATCTTATATTTTCCATAAAACTAAACTGTAGTCTAATATGATCCAAGACCGAAAAGTACAAGTATTATCAATACTTAAAATAGTTATAACTAGTTTTATTTGTATATAAAACCATTTGAAGAGATGTGTTTTTACGTAAAAATCCACGTATAGTCGTTTATCCCCATGTGAGTTTTTATAACCGTGCTAACAAATGGTTTGGCTGCCTCGACGTACTTCAAGCGTCGTATTGTTTGATATTTGTCACCCATAACCTGCCGGTTTGGCTGTAGCTATTAGCCAGGGTGCGGGGTCATCAATCCCGTATAGATCTATATATAATTATCACGCTCTCCAGAAGGAGACTCGGGTTATAGTACAATACGTGCTTGTATACCTTGGTAGGTACGATGAAGACATTGACTCACACCCTTATTCAACGAGTTTACGTGTTTTTGAACTGAAAGTGTTTACCCTTTTTGTTATGCATATAAAATATAAAAATAATCGTACTTTTATATAATTGTTTCCTTGCCCGAAAGGGTAGAATAATGTGAATGTTCCCCATACTATATCTATTATAGTTTAAAATATATGTTTAGTTGAGAATGAAAACCATTATGTTTTAACATAGTTTGCATGTAAATATTTATAAAGTTGGTAATAACGTTGTTTCCCATATTTAGTAATTTTACATAAAATGCTTATAAAAGATAAGAAAGCATAAATAATGGTTTGTATATTTACACGAGTTTCCTCGTGTTTTACTTGTCCCCCCCCCCCTCTTAAAACATAGAAAAAGTTATAAAAAGTGTAGGGGTATGAACTCACCTTATGTGTAGTCGTGGTTTGATAACAAGACAAAAACAGTGACTTCGGGTAGAATACGGGAAGGATATCGTAATCCTAATGATTTTAAACACGTAATAATATGTGATTAAGATGTCAATAAATAATAAGATGGTTGCGAATACACTAGAATTCTATAAGAGACTTACCAAAATACTTAGGAGTAATACCAATTAAGAATCTTCTTGTGAAGATGTTTGTGAAGAACTTGAACTTCAGAGAGAAAATAAGAAATGGTTTTGAGAGAGTTAGTGAGTATTTTGTTTCACTGTGAATAAATTTGGAATTGTGATCCATTTAGTATCTTAAGTATGAAGAAAGGATAAGAGGTTGATGTGAAATTTACGTTGGTAACTGTATCGTATCACATTGGTAAGCTAAATAGGATAAAATATAAAGATTTTTAAGGGTGTTTGCGGCCAAAGGATATGTTTACTGTCCACCATGACTGAAATCATCCCAAATCACTCACAAAAGAGTGATTTCGTTCATAATTGATCTTAAAGAAGGGATTTCGGTCCCATAAGATTGGGTTTTTGGCCATAATGGGCTTTAAGAAGTGGGTTTTTGTTCCTAACACTCTAAAAGCAAATGATTTCGGTCATAGTGGGGTTTTAGGATGTTGTTTTCGGTTCTATAGTATTCCAAGGTTCTAAAATTTGAAATCCTTTAAATAATATACCATAGTATGCTTATAGACTTATAATTAGACTTGTGTTGACTCCATTTTCCCTTTAAGGTTCATTATAACTTGGTTTTCAAAGTTCCATTGCACCAAGTGTGCTGTGTAATCACTTATGCTTGGTTGAAATTTAGACCTTGCTTGATCTAGAAATTTCCAGGTTGTGATATAGGGTTTCGAGTTATAGGCTTAAGAGGATGGAGGATGATGATAAGAAGGACCTCAAGGCATTAGAGTCCTTAAATAGGGGTCAAAACCCATAAATTAAGTTTTTTTTTTCCTAACTCAGTTACACCCTGCATAAACTGTTAAAAACGTACCCTAAGAAGCAAGTATGCCCAACTTACCTAGAGTGCGCCATGTGTAATACCAAACTCCAAAATTATGCTCAACTTCAAACAACCATAACTTCTTTGTTTAACATCCCAAAAATCAAGGCAAAATTTTTCATTTTTTAAAACCATTCCAAAAAATCCATAAATTTACAAAACAAGTTCTCAAAAGTCACTATCATGAATCAGAGTATCCCAAAATCATAAAAACACATAAATCCAAGATGATGTGCACAATTAAGCCTTTGCCTTTCCCTTGTCCTACCATAAAATCAAACTATAAGCCAAAACTTAGTGAGTTCCCCCAACACACCCCACACAACATAACATATACAATCATGCATGTTGGCTCCATAGTCATCGGAATGGATTACCCTCGGGTCCACAATTATCTGACTGGATTACTCTTGGCCAATAGTCATCAAACTAGATTGTCTTGATCCAATTAGTTTTCGGACTGGAATGCCCCGGTCTGTTGGCTTACACACATAGCATTAAAGTATCAATCCAAACTGCACTATGTTGACATATGCAACATATATATCATATACCAACAAAAAATAGTCATACATATCTAATAAATCACTACGTCATAGCAACATCCTATATACTAGGATACATAATATAGTGGTCTAACATTGGTGTCTTTGAATAACAAGTACATTGAGGAAAACTCACCTCATAGTCTGAAAGATAGCTGAACAGATCATTGCTCCAAATACTATTTCTACAGGTCGCCTATACAATAAACATGGACCCAATCTCAATATACTATTCAAATTACCCAAAATGACCTATGATCAAACTTGGTCAAATTCAATGGTCAAAAGTCAACCTCCAGCTAATCGAAAAAACAGACGAGCCTTAGCCTAATTTCCACATCGTGGTGACCTAAGGTCACGCCGTGGGCACTTGGCTCTTAACAACTTAATGGGTTAAGCTGTTTTCTTCATTTCTAAGGGCTCCAAAGCTCAGATGTGGTCCATTCTATGGTCTAAGTGGATAAAGTTTCCAACGTTATCCCCTTAGACTCTCCAAGAGATAGAGATCTCACTCCTAGGTCCCAAATGGGGCAAAAAACCACTTGGCTTAATCCAATAAGCACTTAATCTTGAAGACCTGTAGTCCAACGCTTCCAGAAAGGTTTCTAGCATCATAAATAACATAAAAATACATGCTTTCCAAACATGCATGTCTAATGCATGTCTTGAACTCCAACTACGTCAAAATGAGGGTTCATGGCCAAAAATCCATGTATGACACCAAAACTCATTACTAATCTAGATCCAAAATACCAAATACCTTAGATGGCTTGGAGATTCATAAAGTTGCAAACTTTATGAGATCTCACCACTCCAACCAACAAGAACATGAATATTTAGGGACAAAACTGAAGATTTAACAACCTAACATGATAAAAATCGAGTCTTGAACACTTACAAAGGTCCATAATAGTGCTATAACAAAGGATGGGGACTTGCTTGTTTTATCTTAGCTCAATTCTTATTCTTTCTTCCTTTAATGGCTTCAAAGAACACCAAAAAGGGCTTAAATAAAGGAGAGGGGGGATTAGGGTATCTCATATCTCAAGGAGGCTGATAGAGGCTGAGGATGAGCAAACCTTAGCTTCCTTATTCCTTTAAATAGGGAAGAAAACCTGGATATAGGGTTTATCATTTGCCAGTTGCCACGTAGTGGCCATATATTGCCACAGTGTGGCGGCTTAAATGAAACCGCAGTCTTATTTTGATTCGCCACATCATGGCATCTCCCCCACGCTGTAGCAAACCCTAAAATGCTAAAATAAAAAATATGAAGTACCTCGAGATCCTGGTGTTATAGAAGCAAACAACGTAATTAACCCAACGAAGTTGATATCATTGCTTACATCCACACCAAAACATGTGTAGTATGGAGCAATATATTGCATAGATCCCTCAATAGCCGCCAACTCCCTCCACTAGAAACTGACACTTGAAAAAAAATGTCGTATACATACTCATTCAGGAACGTATAAGAAAACTATCAAAGAAAAAAATATGCAATATATTGCATATATGGAACAAAAACACACAAATACCCTAAATTTACTTCTCTGGAACAACCCTCTGGATGTACGGCCACTTCGGAGTAAATTCTGGAATAAACATTTTAGTCTGGAATTTACGAGGTGTCACATTCCAGGCCGAATTCCTACCAACCACCACCATTAACTCCGAAACAAAATAAATACTTTGGAATATTCTATTTCGGAATATTTTGAACAACCAATGTCAAGAATGCCCTTACGTACTCCGAAATACGATATTCTGGAGGAAAAAAAAAAGACCATTTCTCCAAAAAAAAATAAAAAAATAAAATTATATAAGGGTTAGATTTACCCCTATTCCCCTCTTATTTTCCTAAGTTGTACGAGAGTTAAACAAAAGAAAATATTTACAAAAAGATAAATGCAGAGAAAGATGCGGAGAACACACCAAGCGCACAATAACAAAAACAATCTAACCTCTTCGAACAAGTCATTAATTTCCTCAATACTTCTTGTGCTGTTGGAAACCTCCTCCCACAATTCCTGTTTCCTCGAACATCAACAACACCGCTACACTGAGCAACATCAAACTCACATTCAGGAGGTATACTATCATCAATCAACAACTTGCTTTACGATTTGATGGATTCTCGTTAGTTTCTTTTCAGATTTCGATTATATGCTCTTCGTTTTAATCGATGTATCAATTCTACCGATGCCAACACCTACCTTTTTCTTATAATGTTTAATGTTCATTAATGAAATTTCTTTTAGTTATAAGGATTCTCATCTCTTGATTATCTATAATGTCGTTTGATTGATTATTTGATAGACTTCGTCGTGCTGTTGATTCTGATTAGTTTATCTTGAGATTTCGATTGTCTTCTTCGTTTCTCTTGAGCACCGCTTGATTATCTGTAATGACATTTGATTGATCGTTTCTAGTAGTGATGCGTGCGATTAGTTTTGAGTTCATCAGAGTATCAATTCATATTTCGATTTAAATGATAGTTTCTTTTGAAATTTTGGTCGTGTTTTTGTTTAAACTGGTATATGAACTGCGCCAATACCATCGCCAAAGTTTTGATGATGTTTAATGCTCGTTTTTTAAATGTTTACTTCGGATTAGTGGCGTTTGATTGTTCTTAAGACTTGATACTGATGCTTGCTTTTTGTTTTGAGTTCTTCAGAGAATGATTTTGTATACACAGATTATCAACTACATTTGTTCCTTTTGTTTGTGTGTGTTTGTTGATCAGATTTTATAGATTTAAAAATGTTTTTACCTAATCACGATCAAGAAATCACTGCATATTTTGTTTTTGTTAAAAAGTGGATTATTTTCGTTCTATAATGACACTTAATGATTTATTCAACCATTACTATTGGCCATAAGGATTGCACATTAGGTGAAGTCAGATGTTCTTTGATAAAATATGTATGTTTAATGTTATTACTTTTGACTAATCATATAATAATCTGATTTAACTTTCAAATTTGTCATGAGCAGATTAAAAGGACTTCAATTTGGGACAAAAGAGTGAAAGACAAATCTTCCATCATGAAATATAAGAAAGGAAGGATGGTGGAGGTGTTGACCAAAGACAACTTTTGTCACCATTCTTGGCGTTGTGCCAAGATACTTTCCAAAAATAGCCACAATTATACTGTCACTTATGATATCTACCCTGGTTTTACCAACAAAGAAGACATAGAACAAATATCCATGGAATCAATTCGACCTTATCCACCTTTATTAAAAATCCCAGAATCTTGGGTTCCTGGTGATGTAGTTGAAGTCTTTCACAATCTTTCATGGAAGATGGCAATTGTTTTGAAGGCTTTTAATTGGGATCAGTTTGTAGTCAGATTAGTTGGATCTTCTCATGAACTCAAAGTAACCAAATCAGAACTCCGTGTGCCACAATCTTTTCAAAATGGTGAATGGATTGTTATTGACAAGTTCAAGACATTAATAAACTTGAATTCTTGTAAAGATAAGGTTTTGAAGTACAAAGAAGATGTTATGAGTAATGATAGTGTCATGAGTTCTAGTGATAGTTGTAGCATTAATAGCTATAATGGGTCTGATTGTTTTGAAGATATTGAATGGCGTGATAGTGATGCAGAGTCTGTTTGTGAAATGGAATATGATGATGATGATGATGATGATGATGGGTGTGTGTCATTGGAGGATGAAATCCATAGACTTGAGTTAAATGCATATCGATGCACAATGGAGGCATTACATGCATCGGGACCTTTAACATGGGAAAAAGAAACAATGGTAACAAATCTTCGTATGTTGCTTCATATATCAAATGATGAGCATTTGATTCAGATTAAAAACTTAATTTCTGCATCTAGTCATAATAGATGACAATTTTCTTGGTAAAACTCAATTTTCCTTCACATAATTGTAAAAAGCATTTGTACATTTTTGCTTCTATTGTTATATAAGAAAACTACTGGTGTTCGATAAATTTGGGTAGTTATATGATGGTTGTGTGCATATTATATGTGATGATAAATGGTTATTTTGTGGGATATTATTGATGTTTAGCCTTGATTTTCCAGGGCCAAAGTACTGGCTTGAACATCTTTTCTAGTGAAAGCAGGGATCATATGACATATGCAGAATTATATCTGAGAATACATGTAAGTCTCAAATTATAGATTTTCTTAAAAATACAGGAGCAAGATCTCGCAGGATGCTCAGGTATGGAAAAGCTTTTACTTTAGATTCTTTACCTTGCTTTTTTTTTCGTAAATTTTTCTTATTGGTAAATTATTTTATTTTGGTTTCTTTTCGTTCCCGAAGATCATGTTTGTTACGTGGGACAAGGCAAAGACAAAACAGATTGTACTATGTTACTAGATTGATGTGAGTATTTCATATTTAACCCAAAAAGGTGGGATAGGCTTTGCCCTGGATCTCTCGTATTTGCAAAAGATGTGAATGTCTTCAACATGCTCATCATCAAACATATCCACAAACGTAGCCATAACAATGATTGGAATTGATGCATTTTCGATTTTGAACATTAAATGAAACCTTGCAAATCTTTTGGTAGATAAGGGGTTAGGGGTGGATCAAAGGGTGTCAAAGGCATGTAGTTCACACCTAAAAAAAAAAAAACTATTTTGGTTTTTGTAGTGTAAAATAAAGAGTGAATTGCATTGGTAATCTTGATTTTGTTTTTTGAAATAATAATAGGGCATACCTAGGGTAACACTTTACATATTTGACGATATAAGTTATTGATTGAGGTTTAAAAAACGTTTGAGAAAAAGATGATGTGGTCAGAAAAAATAAAAAGGAGGTATTTGTAAGGGCATATTAATCTTTCGGTCTCTCGTGCATGTGTCAAACGCATGTTTAGTCCATATTTTCAAAAGTTAACTCGGACCGTTCCTGTGTTAGTTTTTTCAAATCCTAGGCAACGATTTTAAACCCTAAGCGGCGGCGGTGATGGTGTTCGTGAAAGCTAGACCTGGCATATGTTCTAGGTTGAAGGTGGTCGATCGAAAAAAGTTATGCTTGATTGTTGGTGGTTGAAAGCGCTACAATATGTGTGTATGTGGAGGCTATTAGTTTCCGGCAAGGTGGAGGGCATCTTGGATCTGAGACGAAGGAATATCAGATGATCAAAGAAGAAGGGGTATCTGATTGGAGAATGGGGAGGAGGAGATTGAGCTTTCGGTTCTGAACAATGAAAATGTTGGTGAATGGTGCTCCGACGATGGTGGTCGACAGTTCTCCTGCGATGGTGGTGGTCGGTGGTCTCATGGTGGAAAAGCAGTGGTGGTGTTAGTATTTTTTTTGTAGGGTTAGGTTTTGTTGTTCATAATGAGAGAACCGATGAATAAGGGTATGAACCATTTTTCTAAATATAATTACTAACAATAAATAATTGGAAAATAAATTAACAAAAGCATTATCGTCATTTCAGATTCGACATGGACTAAATTCGTAATAACAATAAATAAATAGAAAATATAATTACTAGCAATAAATAAATAGAAAATAATTGGAAAATAAATTACAAAGGGCATTATCGCCATTTCAGATCTGACATGGACTAAATTCGTAATAAAACCGTATATCAAGGATCAAGCGTGCAATTTTTAAACAAACGAGACACGTTGAGTTAATTTTTGAGTAAATTACTGAAATCGTCCATGTGTTTTGGTCAAAATTGCACATTTGGTCCCTAACTTCTTTTTTGCACTCGGATCGTTCCTGTGGTTTGATTTTGTTGTATTTTTCATCCCTATAGTTTGGTAAAAGTTGCATGTTTGGTCCCTAACTTTATATATGTAAGGGACGAAAAATACAACAAAATCAAACCACGGGGACGAAAAACGCAACAAAATCAAACCACAGGGACGATCCGAGTGCAAAAAAAAAATTAGGGACCAAACGTGTAATTTTAACAAAACCATAGGGACGATTTCAGTAATTTACTCTTAATTTTTACATGCAAGTTTTAAACAAACAAAGGACGGTCCGAGTTAATTTTAAAAAATAGTGATTGAACGTGTGTTTTGACACGTGCATAAAGGACAATTCATGCAATTTACCATATTTGTAACTGAGTGTCTAATTACTATTATTTCAACTTTCTTTATTATGTTATTAAGTCATGCCACCATTAAGTTTATTCAGGAGAAGAAACAATACCTTGGTTCGTGCTTTGAATGGGCTGATAAAAAATAAAAAATTGAACTCTTCAAATTTAGGAAAGGAAAAAAAAATATGATTGTTTGTATTTTTTACATATTTTCTTTCTTGTGTATGTATATGTGTGAGAGAGAAGTAATATCTAATTCATCACTTCCTCTTATCTAAATCCAATGAATTTAATATATTATTCATGTTGTTGTAGCACTTAATTTTCTTTATTTATTAAAAAAATATGTTTTTAGCTTTTCAATCAAAATAAAAAAAGAAAGGATATGGATAAATGGAAAGATGAGAGAAAGAAAGAAAAAGAATATTGATGATATATAATTCCAATATATAACATCTACAATTTATCTCACATAAAAAGTTGTGTAATAAAACATTAATACGAATTAAAAAGATAAGGGCTATGATTAAATGGCATAATTATAATACAATTATGCATCATTTACTCACAATCTTCCAATGTTCCACTTTGTAGATGGTTTCGATAACTTGTTTAATATACATAGACGAGAGTTTGAACTTCATCAATTATGTGGACATCGGAGAGTTTCAATTTGTGAGTTGCATACCCAGTTGTTCAATGCAACATCCGTGAATCAGGGTTAAACGTTTGAATGTTCAGTTTTTAATATAAATTCTATTGGAAAAACCTGATTATTTGCATCTCTACCTACTGTTATCAATAATTCACCCTTTACCTCACAACCTCTCTTACATCCATCACTCAATGCTTTGAAACATACATAAAGCCTTTGAAAATAATTGTAGTCGGTTGAGGTTTACTATTACACCACCTTTACATATTCAATTTGGGTTTGATCTTAGCTGCTCATGAGCATAGTTCGAAGTCCTTGCGTAACGGTCACCTAGATTACCTTCAATTAACCCTTTGGCCTTTTTTTTTCTGGACCTATAACATTAACCTAGTAACACCATGTGGTTGAATTTTTGTTTCATATCACCAACCATTCTCCAATAGTTTATCTAGAGGCTTGTTTGCAACTTCTGTCACATAGTGTTTTCCAATCCACTCAAGTGAAATAATTTTCCTATATTTAAACTTTATTGAACATACATATGTATATGTCATACTTTTGATTTGAAATGATCTCTCTTTGTACATCCAAGATGCATGCAGTCTAGCATATGTTTTCTTCAATCCTATTTCAAATCATGGCACCATTATTGTATTGTCACACTTCGCAAAGTAAATTCCCTATCCATTTGTGTATATGTAGTTTGTGGCACAAAATTTGAGTTAAGAAGGGGGCTCAAGCATGTCACCAACCTTTGGTTTCATCTTATTCTATCCGATTGTTGGATCATGAATTCTATATTTGGAAATGATTTCCTCCTCATTTTCACCTTATTTTGCCAATCATTAGCATGATAAACTTGAACACTAAAGTCATTATCCATATAAGAATTACATAGATTTTCACTACTCAATATAATATTCATAAAGATGTCCTTACACTTATTAAGTAACGTAATGAACTCTTCCTTTGGTTCACGATCCATGTAAATTCCATGAAGCTCAAATCAACTTCCAACTTCGTTCAATCCAAAAAAGGCTCATATAAACCATCAAATTTGTTGTTGGTTTCTTCGTCTATGATGTAATTTTGAACTCCTACACAACATTACATCACCAATCAAATATCTTCAGCAAATACCATAATGTAAGGGAAAAAAAACAAAAATTAGATAACAAAATAACATTTATATGTACACATTTTCTTCATCGTAACACCTTCAATTACCTAATTTTTTCTCTCACTCTTAAAACTATACCACCAATGTAACCATTTGTTTCCTCTTAAACTCTACTTTACATGATGATTACTTGCAAAAACCCAAGGTTTCCAATTCTAATAAGTACGTAAATTTGATGTAAAGTTGATGTTAAGACGTAACATAGCTAAACAGAGATACATGAAGATTTAATGGACATATTGGATGTCACATCGGTTAGGTCACTGACTGTGAATGGTGAAACATGATAGATGGCATATATGCAAAAAAAAAAAGTTGAAAAGTTTCGGTTATAAAGCACCTAAAAGTGATGTTGGGTAATGTTGGGTTTTATTCAAAACCGTTTTCCCAAAAACGCTAAAAGCAGCAATGAAAGCTTTAAAAATGTGAATAAACTTAAAACTATTTTTAACACATCAATGATTATTTTGCAAATCATTGAAGTATTAACACAACCATAGAAGAAAAAAAATTTACAACATTTCAAGACTTTGATTCCTCTTGGGAGGTTGGAAGTTGATGAAGATGAAAAAAAGACTCAAATGAGAGCTTCTCTAGAAGTATACACCAAGCAAGAGTAAATTACTTCAAGATTTTAGCATACACTTGTATTAAGTTGCTCTTAATTCATTAAGACTTATACCAAATAAGCCTTAAGGAGAAGCAACTTATGAACCTTCAAATCAAGCGCCAAATTTCAAGAGAGAAGAGAGTGAAATAAGCTTCATATTCTTGGAATTAGCATCCAATAAAGAGAGAAAAAGAGCACAAAAGAACAAATTTTTGGTACTAGCAATGCACTCCTTTTATACATACTAATATGTACCAAAGTCAAGCAAGCATTAAAAGAAAGTATGGTAGTGTAAGATGCAAGGCAACACTTAAACTCTTTCCCTCTCATGCGCCTTACGGTTTTGATGCACAAAGCCAAGCGTTTGGAGTGTGCTTACTCTAACTCATAACTAGTAGTTACACGCCTAACTAAGTGGTTACTCAAATTTCCAACTTATTTGTACATGACACTTATATTCATAACATACGATATTTACTAATTTTTATTCTCTTTATTATTATTTCCTAGAAACAATAATTCTCAATATGTTGGTAAAATATCATTTTTATAAAATGATAATTTTCCAATTAAATACAAGTGTTTATATTTATTAATAATCTTATTACTCTAATAAATAATCAATTACTAGTAAATTGCTATAAGGTATGACCATATACAATCATATTTTATTATCAAATATCAATCTATAATTACTCCTGAACATAAAGATCTTTCAGGTAAAAATGTGTTTATCACTTCATTTTAATTAATCATTTTTATTAAAGTAAAAAACTTGGATCCTACTGACCTCTTTATCCCCTCAAGTAAAATACATTCAACCCTATATCCCTTTATACCTTCCACTTAAATCCACCTTCCTCCTCCCCTTCTGTTGTCGAAGCTTTCGACAACATCAGTGATCTTGCTGACATGTGAAAGATTAGTTAGTTGCCTCATTCGACCACCACTAACATCATCGTTGCCATCAACTGGTATGTGAAGAATCCTTCGGTTGGATCAGTTAGAGCTAACAACATCGCCACCATCAAGCTTCTTCTCTATGACTAATCTAAGTTATGAATCACTGGAACCGCCGCCTTTAACTACATCCTTCCATTTGGATTGTTACCTTCTACGAAAAAACTATGGTCTCCCCATGATTTGGTTTAGACCACCCTATCAAACTCTTTAGTTTATCCGACGTTTTGGTTCCCGTAAAGGGTTTCCTGATCTAGTTTCTTAGGTGATTTCTTTCGGTTTTGATTTTCCTGGTTTGCTTCAGATTTGATATTTTCATAGGTTTAATTTTCTTAGATTTCCATAATAATTTGCTTCAAATCTGGTTCCTGATTTGATTTTCTTATAGTTTGCTTCAAATTTGGTTCCTAATTTGATTTTCTTATAGTTGGCTTCAAATCTGGTCCCAATCAGTTGTGCTTTTCACCACTTCCTTTTCAATCCAATTTGGTGGCAGTCTTGCCGAAAAAGACGAAGGGGGTGGTGGCGGTTCATTGGAAGAAGATTGGAAGAAAAGTGGGAGGGTGGGTGGGTGGGTTGGGTGGAAGGGGTAGGAGGTGGGACCCACATATTTGGTTACCAATTTTTTTTTAATAATAATAACCTAGATAATAATAAAAAGATTTAAAAAAATACAAAGACTGACAAAATAGTCTTTCTAAAAGTGATACGGACCAAAGACACAACAAAACCAAACCATAAGGATCTTCCGAATTAAAAGAAAAATTTATGGATCATTAACGTAGTTTAATCATTAAAATATGTTTTTTTATTTAAAAAATACATTTTCGTATAAAATATTATTACATTGCTATGATCTTAAAACATATTTTACGTTTTCATATAAAAATAAGTTTTTTTTTCTTTCACATAGGAAAACAAAGTTTTTTTTTTCTTTCACATAGGAAAAAAAGTTTTTTTTACGTATT